GCCACATAGAGCCAACTGGCAAGCTCGGTATTCATGGGACAAATCTTTGGGACTGGGAGCTGTAATCTTTCCTGGTCCTGCCACACTCTGAGTTCTCATGTGTGTCTGGAGAGAAAAGGTTGAGCCTTGGCGCCCTGGGTGACAAGAGAAGTCCGAATACTTTCCCCTCAGAGGATCATGGGGATTTTTTCTTTCATGGGCTTTGGTGATTCTCTACTACCTCACTCTAGGGATTTTAAGGATATTTAGCAAACACTGCTGCTGAAATCCTACCCCTTAGCCGGTCTAGTTTAACAGAAGGGATGTATCTTGGCACTGAGAGATGGTGTGTGTGTGTGTGTGTGTGTGTGTGTGTGTGTGTGTGTAACTGGAAGTAAGTGAATTTCATGGTACGGTGAAATATGGGATAGAAAGGGGAACTCTTCTCTTCCCTTCCCTTCTCCTTTCCTTTCCCCTTTCTCCCTTTCTTTTTCTTTCTTTTTTCCTCTCCTTTCCTCCATGCCAATAAAGTCTCTCACTGGGTTCTGGAGCTTGCCAGTCAAGCTAGGCTGGCTCACTGGTGAGCTGAAGGATCCACTCGTTCTGCCTCCACAGTGCTGGGGTTACAAGCACCTGTGCCTGGCTTTTCACATTGCCTTGGGATTGAACTCAGGTCCTCATGCTTGCCCAACAGGCACTTCACTATCTGAGCATCTTCCAGTCCTAACATCAGTGTTTTTTAAAGGACTCCAGAATATCTAATAGCATTCTGTTTAAATAGACGGGGCCACACAGTTATTCCTCGGACTTTGCAGAGTCCTAGCCTGACCAGAAAATAATCAGCATTTCCTTGCCGTCTGCTCTGTCTGTTCTATAGGGGGAAGTCTTCTGGTACAAAAACAAAACCACACAGTATCTCAAGGACCTTGTTCATTTGTTTTGAAATGATACTTTAAAAAGGTAATACACGTATTCTCTCCTGCTATTACCAAAGCTCTTCCTCATAATTTTGAAGCCAGGCAACTGTAAGTAAATGACTAAAGGCCCTTATTCCTACCTCTTCTTGCTCTTCCTGTTGAGTGCATGTGTATGTGTGTGTGGGGGGTGGAGGTTGTCTAGTGACCCAAAGGAGCCGGATGACACTTGGTGCAGAGGCACAAGCTCTTGCCTCCTGCAGAGCTAGCTAGGAACTGCTGTTGCCACGGGCTGGGTCCATATTTCCTCAGCAGCAGGACTTTGTGCTGGCCACCTGCAAAGGGACTTAGAGTCTACTAAGGACAGCAGTGACTGCATCACCACATAAGCATACGTGCACCATTAATATCCTGATGAATTCTGAGGAGCAAGCGAGCAGGGTGCACAGCCAGCCAGCGTGAAGCCAAACGCTCCTCATGAGGCAAACTGGCTGTCATCCGATGGGCACATTGAAGCCTGGGACTGAGGACCCTGATACTGTTCTCATACAAATAAATAGTTTTCATTGAGCTATGCTGGAAGTCTGCTAAGGTCCCCAGAGCTGAGAATATCTGTGACGGATGCTGTCAGACACAAAGCACAAAGCACAAAGTACTAGAGCACAAAGCACAGTTTGGATGGAATCCTGGTCTCTCCCCTGAGGATGGCCCTTTTGTCTATTGAACGGAGTTTAGACTCCTCAGCCTGCTAGAGGGCTTCCAGCCATCTGGTGTTAACAGTCCTTCCCAGGCTCTCCTGCCACTTTCCAGGGATTCAGAGCACACTCCAAATACCAAGCCTGTCCTGGTCTCCTCCGTACCAGCACATTCCCTCAGTCTCCATTCTCCTTCTTAGACCTGAGCATTTTAATATGTGAGAGTGTAAATCTTAATTTATTTTTTAAGGGCTCATCTCAAGCTGGAGAGAGATGGCTCCATGGAAAAGAGCACTGGCTGCTTTTCCAGAACATTTGAGTTTGACTTCTAGTACCATATGACAGCTCACAACTGTTGTAACTCCAGTTCTATGAGACATGATGCCCTCTTTTGGCCTGCTTGGGAACTATATGCAGGAATGTGGTGCACAGACATACATACAGGCAAACATCCATACACATCAAAATGAAAAGTAAAAAAAAGAAAAAAAATGTGCCCAACTTACTTAATAGAGATGCTGACTCAGATCAGATTTTATCTTTTTGTTAATTTAATATGTTTATCTGAAAGCACAATACAAAATTCAAAGACCAAGTCAATGATATATTTGTGTATGTTCTGTGTGTGCCCACACGTGTGCATGTCTGTGGAGGTCAGAGGACAGCCTCAGTTGTTATTCCTCAGGCACTGTGTACCTTTTACTCGAGAGTCTGTCACTGGTCTACGTCTTCACCAAGTGGGTGAGGTGAGCTAACAGTGAGCACCAGCGATTCTGTTCTGCCTCCCGTCTCACTGCCAGGATTATAAGTACCTGCTACCATGCTTGGCTTTTTATGTGGGTTCTGGTGATCAAACTCAGGTCCTCATATTGCCAAGACATGAACTTTACAGACTGAACCATCATCCCCAGGAGGGGACAGTTAAAGAAACTGCTTTTCATAGTGTGAGACAAATGCAGACTCATGGATGTTCACAGTGCTGGGAATACATTACAGTTGAGGGCTTTTCCCTAAAAGGGGGGCTTATGGGGCTGGAGAGATGGCTCAGCGGTTAAGAACACTGACTGCTCTTCCAGAGGTCCTGAGTTCAATTCCCAGAAACCACATGGTGGCTCACAACAATCTGTAATTGGATCTGATGCCCTCTTCTGGTGTATCTGAAGACAGTGACAGTATACTCATATAAATAAAATATATTTAAAAAATGTAAAGGTAGGTGGGCTTATGACACCCCCTCTGAGGCCAAGGGGAAATCACAGATCGGGGAGCAGACAGAATGTAAGAGCTGAGATATGTGGGAAGGGCTGCAGACTGCTCTGCCTGGACAGAGAAGTCTTTGCAATCCTGCTGTTCCAGCAGCCCTGGCTGCCTGCACTAGGCCTGCACAAGACTAGGCAGAGTTAATCATGGATCCATAGGGACTTACGGCCTGACCCTTCCTTGCTGAGCTGTTGCCTACGGTGGATTCCTAGGGAGGGACAGTCCTTAGCTTTAGTTTTATACCCATTGGTAACTCCACCTCCAGGATGCACTGGATCCAAACTCAAGGTTTCACAGAAAGCCCTGGGTAAACTCAGTGGGTCACAGAAGAAAAGGGCATGAATATGGAAAGGAGACTGGTGGGGGGGGAGAAGAGCGAGAGAACCAGAAGGCATTACTTGTACAAAATTGTCAGAAACTAATAAAGGATATTTTAGTAACAAGGAAGAATGATGAGGCCGGAGAGGTGGCCGAGCCACTAAGAGCATCCTGCAGAGGACCTGAGTTCAGTGCTCAGTACCATGTCAGGTGGCTCTCAAGAGCCCGTGTCGACAGCTCCAGAGGATCTAAACCCTGTGCTCGCCTCTGTGGGCAGCTATGCTGGTGGGCACACACAACAGACACACAGTTAAGATAAAATCAATCTCTTTTTTTAAGTGCTATATACTTTTTTTTCCTTTTTAAATATAAACGTTAGAGTCAGGGGCTGACAGCTTTCTGGGCAGCTGAGTTTTCATCACACTTGGTGTGGTGATGCTTTTTAACCAAAGGAATGTCTCTTTAATGCAGTCAGTCCCCTTTATGCTCTCTGGCTCTCACTGGTTTTAATGGCAGGATCGTGAGTAGAGTTATTTCATGGCAGCCAAGCAGTCTCCTTGCCAGGAAACAGCACCATCATGTCTGCCCGTCTGTGCCAAGGAGAGGCTGAGTCAGCGGTGGATTGAAGGTGCCTTTAACCCTTTCTTCATCTAACGCATTCCTAAGCCCATGGCTGAGGCAAATCCCCAGACACACATTCCTGCCCTGTGTGTGAGTGACTAGCCAGCTCAGCACTTTGTGGATACGTGATGGCTAATTAACTCAAACCAGACGGTGAAGAGTCACTCCTCCGTCACCCCTGTAGTCTATCTTAGCTCCTCTCGTGGCATCTGGCGTTTGTTGGGCGAATGGACGAGTAGAGTGCAGAGAGCGATCAAAGACCTTTGCTGTGGTCAGGTGGGGAGAGGAAGGCTGCTGGGAATCTGGGGATCAGGGTCGTGCTTGGACTGGCCTTAAGTCCTCATCCGTGTTCTATTGCTGTGAAGAGGCACAATGGCAACTCTTAAACATGTAACTAAGGCTAGCTTACACTCACAGTCCGTTATTGTCCTGGTGGTATGTAGATGGACACGGTGTTGGAAAGGTAGCTGAGAGTTCTACATCTTGATTGGCAGGCAGCAGAAAGACGAATACTTGGGCTTAGCTTGAGGATTGAAACCCCCAAAGCCTTTCCGGAGTGACATACTTCCTCTAATAAGGCCTCACATACTCCAACAAGGCCACACCTACCCCAAGGCCACACCTACTCCAGCAATGCCACACCTACTAATAGTGTCATTCCTTGGTGACAGCCTATGGGGACTGTTCTTACTCAAACCACTGTACCTTGTTTCCAGCAGACTGGTAAGTCGGTAACTTCCTTGACTGCCTTATCTGCACAGTGTCAAAGGCAGCTCAAAATAAAGACATCCCAGCATACAGTGATGATCCTACACGTGTCCATGGCTAGCAATGATACTTCCCGGGAGCAAGTAGAAGCTCTCACAACTCAACTCATATGAGCCCTCAAAAATAAGTGCTTTTCATTGTCGCAGGAAAAGACAAAATTGATATTAATTAAAATTATTTAGTTTCCTTATAATTCCAACTTTGAAAATGTTTTTATCTACAGTAAAATGCATAAAATTTCAGCAGTGGTTGTCTCTGGGTAGTAGTAGACCACAGATGGATTTTCCTTTTATGTATTTTGCCCTTCAATTTTCTACAATGATAATATATTAAAATGTATAATGTTACTTAAGATTACTGTAGTAAGTGCTATAGAGTTGAATTGTCATGGGCCAGGAACTCTTGTCCTCCAGCACTACGAGCTAATGGTTTCACTTTGCCTCAGTCCAGGATCTGTGTGCCACAGAGGACCATGGCTGTGAGCAGCTGTGCGTGAACATGCTGGGTTCCTTCGTCTGCCAGTGCTACAGTGGCTATACCCTGGCCGAGGACGGGAAGCGATGTACAGGTGAGTATCTCTCAGTCCTGTGTGCTGAGGAAGGGCACGTTAAGAATAGGAAGGACGGCGGGTAGAGCACAACATCACGAGGCCCAGATTGTCCTTTGGATTTTAATGAAATTCTTGGTTTTGTGATCTAGTTTTTAGGCAGATTTTGAACGTTCAAGACTTTGTTTTTGCTTGGAGTCAGTATCTATTCATTCTAGATCGTCCACGTGAAGCATACTTGATGGTAATCTACATAAATGTAATTGCTTTCCACTTCACTGCTTGAAAAGGGCAGAGCTAGGGGATGTAACTGTATATACCTCGTGTATTATATATAAATTTTACCTGGTGATGGGCAGGCGTTCTATATGCAGTACCTCAGAGACACTGGCAGTCTTATCTCTCCATTTGGGCCTGCAGTTCAGTGAAAGGCTCAACTCTCTGCATTGACATCATGGTCACAGAAAATAAACAGCCTCAAACATAAAGCCTGGGAGGGCGTCTCCAGCAAGTTCGAGCTGCAAGCACAGACTCACAGTTGAACCCCCTCCCCACTTGGGGATGCCACAGTGAGCGGGTCAGGGGTTGGGTGAGCCTCTGATTTCTTCACTGATGGATTGTGGTTTTCCTTAGCCTTGGAGAGCAGGCCAGCAAACCCCTAATATGTACACAGGACCTTCCTGATTGGCTATAGTACCCGTGCCTGATCTCAACATTAGAGCAAGAAATAATAGGTAAATAACTGGTGTTCAGTAAGCTGAGCTGAATGTAGATTCCTGACCAAATCTTGCTTTTCTGTTCTACACCCCACTGCTTTCAGAGGCCATCTTGTATCTTTTCATGCCCTGTTTCCTTCCAGGGTATATGTTTATTCTTTTGTATTTCTTTTTCTTTTGTTTTTGTTTGTTTGTTTGTTTGTTTGTTTTTTGAGACAGGGTTTCTCTGTGCAGCCCTGGCTGTCCTGGAACTCACTCTGTAGACCAGGCTGGCCTCGAACTCAGAAATCCGCCTGCCTCTGCCTCCCAAGTGCTGGGATTAAAGGTGTACGCCACCACCACCTGGCCCTCTTTTGTATTTCAAATATGTATTTTCCAACATACCCCTGGCTGGGCCGGTGGTGGCGTACGCCTTTAATCCTAGCACTTGGGAGGCAGAGGCAGGCGGATTTCTGAGTTCGAGGCCAGCCTGGTCTACAGAGTGAGTTCCAGGACAGCCAGGGCTGCACAGAGAAACCCTGTCTCGAAAAACCAAAACCAAAACCAAAACCAACACACCCCAATTGTTAGATGTATGAAAGAGGAAAAAGACAGCGACAACAAAAAGTGGCCATTTGCTGTTTGCATGGGAGTAATGAGCATCCTGTGGCTCTGCTTTCATACACTGGTATGTTTGAAAACTACCCTCATCTGAGATCCGCAAATGGAATCAGTTTCCCAAGCTTGGAGCTATTTATTGGGGGTGGGGTGTTAATTTCCTGGTGGTGACTATGACAGAGTGTCAGGGTATTCTGTTAACACACCGCCAAAACAGAAGCCAACACGGACCCACCAATTATTATTTTGATTCATTAATTCTTTATCATAATAAAGAATTAATATTTAAAGATTGAGAAAAATCACTGCTAATAATTCATTGTATTTTCCAACATAATTTTTCCCATAGAAATACATACTACAAAACATTTTTTTGCCCCTTCCTGTTGTTAAATGAGTAGAAACTTTGTGAACTGAAAAAAAAAAAAAAGAAAAAGAAAAAAGTGGGGGTGGGCATTTATGAGGAAGGTTGGAGAGAGTGTCAAGGAGCCAGGAGAAAAGTTCGAGCGAGGGGAGAAACAAAATGAACTAAGAGTGTGAGTCACAGAGGACAAACGAACTGGAGGCCAGCTCTTGGCCCTTGGGAAGCTGGAGGGTGGTGGGGAACCCAGTCCTCTCTGTTACCAAATAATTGTCTAATTGTCCCAGTGTAGTAGAGAATCTTGTGTCTCTCGGGATTCTGCTGTAAGTTTGGAATTTGACATTTGCTGAAGAGTGAGTCCATGCTGTGGCTGCCAGGGAGCAGCCCTGCATTGCATTCATCCAAGAAGGGCGCTATTCTTGCTGATGCTTATAAGCATATGAGAGTATCTTGGACTGGAGAGATAGTTCAGCCATTAAAGGCTAGGGTCACAACCAAAATGCCAAGAATGCCTTGCCTATATTAGGCCATCAAGCAGAAAAATGGAAGGCCAAGGCAACTATGTATCCTAAAGTGACCCAGGTCTCATCCCCCGATGATCCTGACATTACCATCTTTACCACTGCCCTTGACAGCCACTGACCAAGCTTTTTGGGAAGCTAGGTGTGAGATGACCAGGTAGATCTCTGTGGCCAGTAGCCTCAGTTACTCAAAATTCAAATTTCTCAAAAGCCAGTTGCTATTCCATTGAGCTGTGTCGAGAGCCCAGGAAGGACTGAGGTATAGAAGAGAGACATCTGGAGAGCTAGGTTGGAAGATAGGCATATAGAAGGAAGAGTAGCCATTACACAAATGTGCAAGCAGGAGCCAATGTGATGGGCAGAGATGCTATGGAGGTGGAAATGCTTTCAAAAGGGAGATACCATAGTGAAGTATCAGAAGCTATACAAGCAGCCTAACAAAGGCACAGTTCTCAAAGACAGAGACTCCAGGGGCTACAAAATGTCACAAAATACTGTCATATTTTAAGTAAGAGTACAGTTTTGTATTGGGTCACTTCATGGCTATCCGGGGTGGGACACACCTGGAATCCCATGACCTCTAGCTTCTAAGACTCTAAGAATGGTATGGCAGTGAGTGAAGAGAGAGAGAGAATGGATACAAGGAAAGACAGAAGCTTTAGACAAAGCAAGGTCAGAACTATGAGACAAGGCAAGGACATGTCAGAGAGAGAGAGAGAGGGGGAGGGAGGGGGGGAGGGAGGGAGAGAGGGAGGGGGAGGGAGGGCGGGAGGGAGAGAGAGAGAGAGAGAGAGAGAGAGAGAGAGAGAGAGAGAGAGAGAGAACACAGAGCCCCAGAGTGGAAGAGGATGCTTAGACAGCCAACATGCAAGCAGGAAACAACATGCTTTCCCCTTGTTTCTTTCGATGTCCATTTAGGGTGTTTCACTGTAAATGTCTGTGTGTGTCTTTACTTGTTTTCTGGGCATCTGGATCTTCAAGCCTTATGTCCCAGTTCCCAGTGAAGCATGTCTTTATCTCACGTAATCTCTGAGCTTCACAATGAGGAGTCGTACTACCTACTGCATAGGATTTGAGAGGATAGGCTACTGAATAAAGTTCGCAGAATGCCCTTGGCAGTGGCCATCTTACACTGACTCTCCCAGAACTGTCACTGTGCCCTGCATGAGTATCCATCTCTTAGGTACCGACTCATGAATTCAAGTTAACATTTCCACCCGTCTGAGTCAGTGAACACCGCGTCTGAGGAGCAAGGTCCCATCTCCCTTGCTACCATTTCACTGTAGACAGTACTGAATTTACTTTCAGATGCAGCCATTAATGGTGGATTGCTCATTGAGATACCCTGTGTGGTTTAGTGGAGCGCCTGACTCTGAAATGCACTAGCTGCTACTGAAGCTGTAGTAACTGTCATCCCACCTTGTATATGTCTCAGGGACTGTGCTTCTATACCCTGGCTGTGCATGTTCTGATGAACTTGCTTACCTGATGTTTACTGATGGCTTTGTAAATGGAGGTAGCCTTGCTCCTATTTTCCTTCTGTCTATCTGAGCAGAGTATAAACTGTCCAGGCAGAAGCAAGTTGTACTTTTCCCTTGTCAGGTTGAACTTACATTGCTGTCTCTGTCTTTTAAATGGCCTCTCCCTCTATTGGTTTTTAAATTGCAAATTCAGTTTTTCCTTTTTGTTTTCATTCATTCATGCTCTCCCAACAAAATACCTGAAACTGGATAATTCATAAATAGAAATGTATTCTAAATAGTACAGGCTGCCTGGTAAGGGTGGCTCTCTGTTTTCAAGGTGGCACCTTGAACTCTGCGCCATCTTGTCACGGAAGGTGGACGGGCAGAAGGGACTGAATACTGTGGAGACCTTTCTAAGACTGATTTTATTTTTAAGTGTGTGTGTGTGTGTGTGTGTGTGTGTGTATCTATATGGAGACACATACATGTGAGTGCCAAGGCCCATGGAGGCCAGAAGAGGAAGTTGGCTCTCCTGGAGCTGGAGTTGCACGTGGTTGTAACCTGCCATACATGGGTGCTGGGAACAGAACTTGGGCCCTCTAGAAGAGCAGTCCACTCTCTCAAGCACTGAACCATTTCTCCAACTCATTAATAAAAGCAGAGCCCTTGTGGTCTGGTCACCTCCTAAAGGCTGCACTCCCCAGCACTAGTGCATTAGAAATTAAATTTGAACATGAATTTTGGAAAGGCTCCAGAATTCAAATCATTACACTACGTGCTTAATGTATCTTGCATGTGGTACTGGCTTGTCACTGCTATCCAAGGTGCAACACATTGCCTGATTCAGTAATCACTGAGTTAACTGCTCCTGAACTAAATAAATGGCATAGGTATCCCTGTGCTGCTCAGACCAACCTTGTGTTCTTACTGTGCTGGTGATAAAGATGTACTTGCATTTATTGACTGTTTCTGGTCCTGGTACCTCTCTGAAGTATTTTACACGTAGGACAGCCATCCTGTGTGGAAAGTACCATTGTTCTTGCTCTTATAAGTCTCTGGATTTCTTTATGGCTCAATCACCACTGTGTGTAAATTAAGGATAATAACATGTAACTTATAGGTCAGTTTAACGTGTGACTGTATTAGAGTCAGATGATCTACCGCCATTACAATGTCTAGTGGTTAGGCACTTGATCTCAATTAGATGCTTGTATGTCCTTTATGACTGCTTTCTATGGTTGACTAAATTTAACGATGTCTCTAGTTATTCTCTGTTGCTGTGATAAAGTATCATGACAAATCCATCTTAGTCTTTGTCAGTACACTAAAGTACTGTTTATGTCTGAAGACATCTGAGTGGTTT